CAGGCAAAGGTATTTTTAAATGTCTTTCAATATATTTCATGACTCCCAAGTGCAGCAGAAATAGTTTGTCCACATGTGAAGCTCTCTCCTCTCCAGCACGGCTCAAAGCCAGCGAGCGTTTGAGAGATGGCAGGTCATCACCTTAATCACTTTTGACTTTTTTTCTCCCAAACAGCATCATGAAATGCTTCAATCTGAAAAAATGGGGAGGGGGGGATTATTCTTAAAGAAGAAAACCTGGGATCTGGGTTCAGAGAGTGCAGTATATCCTGCCACTCTATCCTTCACTCTGGACTGTGGTCTGGGCAATGCACTTCTCCCCAGCTCCATGACAGCCACGGGGGACCCCGGAGAAACCACGTCATCTCTGGGTCCCCCCAGCTCCGTGACAGCCACGGGGGACCCCGGAGAAACCACGTCATCTCTGGGTCCCCCCAGCTCCGTGACAGCCAGGGGAACCCTGAAGAAACCACGTTGTCTCTGGGTCCCCCCAGCTCCGTGACAGCCACGGGGGACCCCGGAAAAACCACGTGGTCTCTGGGTCTCCCCAGCTCCGTGACAGCCATGGGGGACACTGGAGAAACCATGTCATCTCTGGGTCTCCCCAGCTCTGTGACAGCCAGGGGGGACCCCAGAAAAACCACGTGGTCTCTGGGTCCCCCCATCTCCGTGACAGCCACGGGGGGCCCCGGAGAAACCACGTCATCTCTGGGTCCCCCCAGCTCCGTAACAGCCAGGGGAACCCTGAAGAAACCACGTTGTCTCTGGGTCCCCCCAGCTCCGTGACAGCCACGGGGGACCCTGGAAAAACCACGTGGTCTCTGGGTCCCCCCAGCTCCGTGACAGCCATGGGGGACACCGGAGAAACCATGTCATCTCTGGGTCTCTCCAGCTCTGTGACAGCCAGGGGGGACCCCGGAAAAACCACGTGGTCTCTGGGTCCCCCCAGCTCCATGACAGCCAGGGGGGGCCCCGGAGAAACCACATCGTCTCTGGGTCCCCCCAGCTCCGTGACAGCCACGGGGGACCCCGGAGAAACCATGCTGTCTCTGGTGTGCCTTCTGGAACACACAGACGATGTTGCCTTCTGCTTTCCTGAATCTCCCAGCCAGTGGTGCGTACTAAGGGGGTGTCTGCGAAGTCCCGAGAGCCATTTGGATAAGGGTTTCGGGGTCAGAAACCCCAGGCGTCCTCTTACAGGAAACACACAGAAAGAGACACAAACACACAATCCGACTAAATCTAACACGCCGAGGTCCTGTCGTACGTTGCAGACCCTCTGCACGTAGCATCTTCCGTGAGCCCACACCTGCACGAATTCGGGACACGTCCTGCCTAAAACAGGAGCACAGAAGCTCAGGGGCCCACCTTGCACAGAGGAGCAAACTCTCTGCCGCTGTGTTCTACCAACCAGAGTCCTAAACCAATGGAGCCAACGCAGGCTTTCCTGTGAGCGTTATGAGGTCTTTCTCAGTCTCTCTCCTCCTTCCTTCCCGCCGTCAGGGGAACATACCGCCTCTGCTGGAGGCCACATCGTTGTCCTTTCCAAAATTTCCTTCTCAGGTTTGAAATCACCTTCGTGGACAGTGCTCACAACAGCCACTGGCGGCCTAGAAGGTTTAGGAACCGTTCTAACTTATTCCTTTAATAAAAAAAATTCTGTAAGTAGCTCGATAGTTAATGATGTTCAAGAAATTGAATAATCTATTAAATGATTTTCCATGGTATTGTAAAATCTCTTGATTCCTGTCTGCCTCATGTGGGCTCCGATTTAAACATAACCTTTTTGAAAGAAAATAATCTTCCTTTTGTTACCACGATGCTCACTTTGCAGTTAGGAGTCTGCGGTGAAAACACACGGTCCTTCCAGATAATAAATTAATTTCTACGCTGTCTGATATCTTTTAAGTTCCGTAGAATCGACCAGCAGCTGATCCAAAAAAGGAGCCGAATTAAGGGGTTTCTGTGTGGACACATCCTCGGGAAGGGCTTGCTCGAGCCTCTGCTTGCGCACCTGACACAGGTAAGGTCGGGGAGGGTCAGGAAGCGGCCCGCTGGAGCTGGAAGGCAGGCGGCCCGACACCACACACATTGTGCTCTGCCCACACCTTCTCGGGTCACAAGATACTCAGTAGATGTATGTGGATTGCTTATAATGCTCAATAAACATAAACGTGGATTTCAAAACACATAACAATTACTCCTTGAGAATGCACCTGGGTGGCACTATGCCAAGAGCGGGGCCACGCGGCTGGTCCGTGGACGGTCCTTCCTGGGACCCCCTGCGGGAACGTCCACTCGCACCCACCCACTGGCCACCACGGGGATCCATGGAGGCCAAGGGATACCACGAGGGGCCAGCGAGGGGCCGGCTCGGTGAGGACCCCCCGGAGAGGCCAGCGAGCAGGACGACGAGGTCACACAAGAAGAGGACAGGAGGTGGGCACATCAACAGGAGGACGCGCTTGAGAAGGACCCTTCACGGTGCTCGGCATCGAACCAGAACCAGCTCACTCATTGACCCTCAAGCCTTCACACTTCATCCCAGACCTAATATACTCATCTGTATCCAAACCTGGACATGTGTGTCCCTTGAAACTTGGCCTTCGCACACTTCCTGCCCAGCTCCAGGTACACGGGATGGGGAGAGCTTAGCGAAAAGGAAAGGCGAGCTCCACACGGACCTGGCCATTCTGTCCAGGCAGCAGGTGCCGTCCAGAGCCTCGCTGACTGGCGATGAGTGACAGTCCCCAATATTCCCGAAATACGTGGCCACCTTGATACATCTTCGTAAGGGTTGTTAATCCACACGAAGTAAGGCTCCTGCCCCAAAATCAGATTGTGCGGGCGAAGCGGAACTCGGAGGGGGTGAGGCTCGGAGTACAACTAGGACAGCGTCGTGGTATTCGGGACCTCGGGGTGTGTGTGTGTGTGTGTGTGTATGTGTGTGCGCGCACCAGACACACAGGCAAAGATGCTGTGTGTGATTATGAAAGGTGAAGCGACCTCACCTAATGTGTAAATCAAGAGGGCTCAAAAAGAAGGATTTGATAGACGGGACGCGCTTCTGCAGCTGTGCCCTCGGTTCTGCATAACGCAGCAAGCCCGGCCATGTCCTCGGGTCCGTGAGTCAGCTAGAAGCTGGCACTTGGCTCCTTAGAAGAGAGTACGTTAGAGGATGTTTGCACAAGCCGCAGCTCCGTGCTTGACTTACTCTGGGAAACTTAACCTCCATGGGAGAGGGGCATACAGATACAGATAGAGATATAGATGTATGGGCGGAAAAGGAGGGGTCTCGGAAAGAGGCCCAGGGCTGAGCCCAGGCAGGTCATGGCCTTGGACTCAGAAGTGCCCCTGTGCCTGTAGGCAGCCCTGAAGGAGACAGAAGCCGGCCGAGAGCTGAGACAGCCATTCTGCAAGGCCGTGGTTTGGGATAGGACAGGCTGTTCATGGGTTTCTGCAGATGCTGAAGCCCTTTTCAGGGACGTGCCGTAGAGCAGACAGCAAGTGACGTGGCCGGGCATCCACGGCCGTCCCCCACCGCTGCAGAGAAACGCTGTGTTGCGTAGAAGGCCGAGTCTGTGTTCACTGGAGCTTGCTCTGTGTGCACACAGGTCTCAGGTGCTGGGGGGCGTCTGTGGAGACGATTCCCCTGACGACGCAGGGTTGGGGGATATGCCGTCCTCACGACCCTTGGCTGGGCTGTTGCTCGTGGCCTTCATTTGCACAGAAGCCACTTTGCAGCAGGGACGGGGTGAGGACGGCATGGGGTGCGGGGAAGGATGAGTCGGCCTGGAGGAGCAGGGTCTGGGTGGAGACGGGGCCAGGGAGACTGGCCACGGCCATGGAGGGACCCAGTGTGGGGTCCAGAGCACACTCCTTGGCCTGGGTTATTTTGGGCAGAGTACAAGTCCCCGGAACTTGCAACAAGTCTTCTCACGTGGAAGGGAGACGATGGCCGTGGCTCTCAGGTCGTGCTGTAGGGAGGTTTGCATGAGGGAGTCCACAGAAGGCACACGGAGGAATCGCAAAGTCGATGCTGGCAGCTTCCACCTCTATAATTCGCTCTGGGTCCCGAAATCACCGAGAGCTTCAGCCCCTCCGGCACAACACGTGAGGAAAGTCACATCGACCCAGGGAGACCCGATGTTTAAATGAGACACTGGATGTGAGGACACCAGGTGGACCACGGACCCCAAACGATTACAACAGCAACGTCAAAGACCTCTGAGCACAATCACCGAGACAGATAGAAGGCCAACCAAGTTTCCGTCATTCAAATATTGCAAAACTCACCTAAATGTGACACAGAGACACAGAGTGAGCATGATGCTGTGGGAGCAAAGGGGCCCAGAGACCCGCTCGGCACCATGTCGCCACAAAACATCCGTTTATGAAAGGTGCATCAAGTGGGGTCTGCCTGCACAGAATGTACTTGCAAACGGAATTATGAACGGAGCCGACATCACTGCTAAGAAGCCATCGCTTACTCGGTGGCAGTGAAGAGCTCGGTGACACAGAAAATAAACTTGCTAGCCTAACTTGAGTTCCCTGGGCGTTTGTACCTAAAAAGGGTTCAGCCCGTCTTGCAGAGACGTTTACCGGAAGCTTCCGTTAAGCAAACGTGCGAAGGTACCATTTCGCTCACTTCCTGCACAGCCGAGAGCGAGGATGAGGTGACGGGGTCACAAGCTGCCAGCAAGCGGCTGCACGAGATCCACCTGTGCAGAGACCCTCTCCCCTCCCTGATGAAACCCCCTCCTGCTCCACACCACACACATCTTTTAACCCGTCCGCGGCTTTTCAAGGCATCACGATCACCTAACAAGTGTTTGATGAGGGCACAAACTTAAGATAAGTCCTAACCGTCTGCATATAAGTCAGACTGCACTCCGCGAACAGGGTCCCAACTCGTCGAAGAGGGTGAACGGGATGCTGTCCATAGAGGCCCCTGACCATACAGCCCCCTGCAGCGGACTGTCTACACAAACTTCTTGCAGCTAACGGTCTACACAAGGCCCCAGCAGACAGCTGTCTGCAAGGGATCCCTGCAGCTGGCCGTCCGTGGGAAGCACCAGCACAAAGATGTGTTTGCCAACGTGAACGGGCAAGGGAAGCGGTGGGGGACCGTGTGGAAGGCCGGTGAGCCCCAGGTCCTGTCGGCGAAGGCCTGGACCAGGCGAGTTGAGGTCTGCGATCTACTTAAGATATTTTGGAGGTTGGTGTGGAAGGGCACGGCGAGAAGGGGGCCTGAGGCAGGGATCCAGTGTGGGGCTGCCGTTGTGGGCAGAGGGGAGATTAAGGGACAAAGAGAAGGCGGTGGTGGGCAGAAGAGAGGAGCCCGGAAACAGGGCAGACGAGGCAGACCATGGGGCTTCGCTTTTTCAATCATCACGTGTCTTCCGTTCTCTCTGCTCAGAGCATAAATTCCTATTGGAAAGTCACATTCTCTTTGAAAACCTCTGATGTCCATCCGCAGACGTACAACACAGAGCCGGGAACGGTGCCGAGTGCCGGACACAGGCGGCCTGCTCTGGGCAGTGCGGGCAGACAGAAGTCCACGGACGAAGACCCGAGTTCCGTGGGATGGAGACAAACACTCGCGGGTGCACAGGGATCGACAGCCTCCGGAGCCAGCAAGGAGCCTCCGGAGCCAGCAAGGAGACTCCACGTCCCCTGCAGGCTTACGGTGGATTTGAATGGGCTTATTGATAACACATCGAGATTCATCGGTGAGACCGTAGAGCAACACAATGAAATCCAACAAGACATTATTGAAAACCATCTCCCGCTTTCAGTTACAGTTGATTTGAAAAGTGGGAACTTTAAAGGGACTCCGATCCCCCACCAACAGCCTGGCCATCCAACGGGCACCGGTCTGGATGCGGCTTGAGCAGGCGTGTGCCCGGAGCGGGGCTCCCCATCTCCGGGAAACGCCTGGAGACTGGAGGTCTCGCTTTGATACATCGTATCGTTTCTTGCCTTCCCCGGCGGCAGACACTGGGGGCCCCCACATATCCACCGTGTAGATTTCAGGTCAGTGCAAATCCAGCAAATCCCTGGCCGGTTGCTTTCGTGAACGTCTGAATGTCGGTGCTCGCGGAAGCCAGGACGCGCAACCTTGGAAATCAAACAGTCTGCAGACTTAGGCCGGGCCCAAGGTTGGATGCCAAGGCCCCTCCTTCCTGCGGAGTGCGATGGAGGCTGGTCTGTGGGCCCACAGCCGAGTCAGGGCTAAGGCCGGCTTCCAAAACTGGGGATTACTACCTATAACATGCAGACACTTAACCTGCCTCTGATGGAAACTGGAGAGCTTTCTGACCACCCACTGACGGCCAAGCAAGGCTACCCAGCCCCCACCGCCTTGGGACAGCTATGTTTGCAGGACTTCAGGGGTCTGTGGAAACTCCCGGTTCTTTCCAGAGGGTGCAGGGCCCCACACGTCAGATCCACCCCCGAGGTCATTTCACACGTGCTCCGCAGCTCTATCCCACCCCACTTGGGGGTCTGCCGTCCGAACGCTGCCTGAATTTCCACCAAGGGTATTTTATTTCTTATTTTCTCATTTTCTTACTTAACCTCAGGCCATCACCGTTTTAAACAAATACCAATAGTCGGGCCTGGGCGGCTCAGTCGTTTAAGCCTCTGACTCTTGATCTCGGCTCAGGTCATGATCTCATGGTTTGTGAGACTGAGCCCCACATCGGGGCTGACAGAGCAGAGCCTACATGGGATTCATTTCCCCCCTCTCTCTCGCTCTTTCTCAAAATAAATAAAGAAACTTAAAAAATACCAATGCCTGTGTCCATGCTAAACCGACGGACCCTGAATCTCTCTCTCCAGATGACTCCAACACCATTCTGCTTAAGGACTGTAAGATATGAAGCCACTTCACGTGGCACATAGACACCGTGGACATGGTGACCGTTAGTAATTTTATGCTGAATTAAAGTGACCATTTTTAAACAGCAGTATTTACTTATGGGAAGAGTATGTGATTTGAGAATAGATTCTCACGGCAGAGAAGGAGAAGGGAAGGGGTGAGAGCAGGCCAGAGCAAGGGAGAGGTCCAACGGATTGTTGGCGGATTGTGTTGAGAGACACAGCCCCCTGCTTCCTATCTTACCAGAAGGTGGTTCTGGCTTGAACGAGAGCCACCTGAGCCCTCCAGCTCCATGCACCTACTCAGCAAATGTGGGTGTATGGACTCCACTTGGATCCCTCCCTCCCGCTCCTCCCTTGCAAAACACGGCTTAAAAGAAGTGTCACTGGGGGGCGCCTGGGGGGGGGGGGGCTCCGTCCTTAAGTGACGGACTGCGGCTGAGGTCATGGTCTCATGGTTCATGAGTTCAAGCCCAGCATCGGGCTCTGTGCTGACAGCTCGGACCCTGGAGCCTGCTTCGGATTCCGTGTCTCCCTCTCTGTCTGCCCCTCCCCAACTCGCGCCCGCGCGCGCGCGCGCGCGCTCTCTCTCTCTCTCTCAAAAAATAAATAAACATTAAAAAATTTTTTAAAAAGTGTCACTGGACAAATATTTTTTAATGTGTCTCATCAAAAGTAATATTGTCAGGTTTAGCAAATAAATAAAATAAGACAAAACAAAATAAAATAAAATGAAAGGTTACATGCAAAGTACAAAGGACAGAAAAGCAACAACATTTTAGTCCCACTACCACATGGGACATTCTTCACACTTATAGTGCCGAAGTATCCATTGTTTATATACGTGTATATATATAAGTCAAATGTAACTGGATGTCTTGAATTGTATCTAGCAACTCTGTTATTTATGTATATTTATGTATTCACGTTGAGTGTTTATATACATTCATGTGTTCATTGTATTCTATCTGTATTGTACTCATTTATTGACTGTATCTGTTATTTCTCACAAAATTCGAAGGGACACCTCTCAGGTCAGGAAGAAGTCTCCATAGAATCGGAGCTCGTGACACTGTGCTTTTGTCAAACCCGCAGAACGTGCAACACACGGAGTGAGCCTTCACGTACACCCCGGACTTCAGTTAATGATGAAGTGCGGATATACAATCAGGCCGTGCCACGAATACCACCGGGAACCGAGATGCAAACAGCAGCGGAAGCCGAGCGATGAGCAGAGGGCACGTGGGGACCCTGTGCCTTCGCTGGGCAATGTTTCCATAACCTTAAAAGTGCTGGAACTTTCCCTGTGACGAAAGAGGTGACGGGTCCAGCTTCCTGCGCGTGAAGTTAGCAGTGCTGTCTGTCTCGCCCTTCTCTACCCGCCTTCCCCCTGGGAGGGTCTGCTGGGGTCTCCTCTGCCCCTCACACCATCTGAAGCTCCTGTTGCCCACTGCCCACTGCCGTCCAGCCCCTGGTTCAGATGAAAGCACCTGCCCAGCCTTGCCCCCTGACCTCCCCCCCCCACCCCATACCTTGGGAAGCAGGTGGCTTCCCTGGGCAGAAGGGGACCAGGAGGCTCAGCAAGTTGAGTCCAGACCTGCCCTCTGATGGGCCCAGGGAAGCAGAGAGAGCTGAGGGTCCGCCCAGAGCTCACCCCCCCCCAAACACTCTCCCCTCCCCCACAGGGCCCTCAACCTCAGAGATTCCCCATCAGGGATCACATTTCAAACATTAAAACAGTGCAGCTGTATTTTTTTAAGTTTTTTATTTAAATGTTGGATATTTACACATTATACTGTGTATTTTGCCTTTAAATTTCAAGAGATAGCTTTGAGTATTTTAGAAGAAAATAACTTTTTTTTGGAAAACAAAACGAAGTTGGTTATTTTTACTTCTTGCATCTGGTTTTCTGTACAGTTTCTGTTGAAAATATATCAAGATGTATACTTGGAACACAACGTTGTATTTATTATAAGTTGATTTATTTTGAGAGAGAGCTCCCATGAGTGGGGGAGGGGCAGAGAGAGAGGGAGAGAGAGGATCCCAAGCAGGCTTCATGCCCCTCGCTGAGCCTGACCGGGGCTTACAGACTGGAACCTCGAGATCATGAGCTGAACAGAAATCGAGAGCCGGACTCTTAACTGACTGAGCCACCCAGGCACCCCGATACATCAACTTTTTAATTTTTAAATCATATATTGTCAGTAGGACACAAATTATATGAAAATCTTGTTTGTTACGAGGGGTAATTTGGCCCAAGACAAGAAAATGATCAGTGGAATAAATACACAGTTTCTGACTTTATTTTACCACAAATCCACAGGTGGCCGCCCCTCAGAACAGAGCGTCTGGCCCGGCACAGTGACCATGAATTCGGTCCTCCCCATGAGGTCCATAACCTCCATGCAAACCATGCTCACACATATTTGTGATTTTGGTATTTGAAGGTGTATTTCCCCAGATAGAAGGGTAAAGCCCATTGTCTTGAGCAGCTCACAAGCCCGATTTACAAACGTTCAGTATTCAGACCTACAGTGTGGGCCTCATCTGTCCCCCGGGTCCGTGGACGTCACTGGGCCTCCGGCTGGGGTGAGGTCTGTGAGTGACCCGCTAGGGCAGGTGGGTGGCGATGCGGGGGCCAGCCGGGGCAACAAGGAGCCCCCTTGCAGAGCCTCCCGGTTGGAGGAGGCGGGCTTTGGGGGAAGGGCCATTTGAGCCACTCAAAGAGCCACACAGGGACAGTCATGAGGGCTGCCCCCGCCCCTGGGGCAGTATGGAGGCGGCCATCCTGCATTGTCTCCTCTGGGGTTCCCAGACCCACAGCAGCCCCCTCCCGAGTGCATGCACCCCTGCGGGGCCAGCCAGAGCCAGAGGGAGGCCACCCGCCCCAGACAGAGCTTGCACTCTGTCTCCTGCAGAATACACTGCAGGGGATGAACCCACTGTAGCAGCCAGCACCTGCCCCCAGCACGCCCCCCTGAAGCCGCCAGTGCTCAGGTAAAGGTGCCCCGGCACCTGCCATCCTGCTTCCCGCTCCACCTGAGAAGTTTTCTGCCGGAGGCTTCCCCCCCCCCCCCCCCAAAGAGTCAGGCCAGAAGTGCCCCCCTGGCCGGACAGTCACACATCCCTCCCCTCCCTACTCCCCGGAGTAGGCCTGCTTCCTGCTCTCCGTGCCTTGTCTGCACCGGAAAGGGCCGGAGAGGAGGGGTGCGCACCTGAATACCTTCTTTGCTTCTACTTCCCACGGTGAGGTCCCAGTACAGTGTTTACAATAGAACTCATTTGTGGGGCTGCCTC